ACAGCATCCGCATCGACACGACCTGCAAAAGTTTTTTTTAATAATAATTGCAGCATGTCGCGAAATAACTTGCACGCCTATCTGTGATTTAATTGAAATACCGTTCCATTCTGTTTCAATTAATACAGAGGTTGCGCAAATAATTTAAATTCTTTTTTATTTATGCCCCGGCAGATTTCATTTCCCCGTGCTCCGCGAATTCTCGATCGGATTTGGACTGGCCGATTGCATTGGTTATGGCGAAACGGTAATATACTATTATTTTCTCCTTTTAATTCCGTTAAAAAGCGATGTCATGTACGTAATTATGTGAAAAATGTTCGACTTTAAGCTTTTTTACGTTTCGATGACCGGTAGACGATTTTTATAGATTTTTTACTATGTTGAACAAAAGTTTGAGAGTCGTTTTTACGAATAATTCTTCTCAGTTTTCGAGGAAAATTTCGAGAAACAAGTCAAACTTTCTGCTCCATGAATTTTTCCAGTTTTAAGCGCAAATTAAAGAAGAATTAAAGAATTACAGAAGAATTAAACAAAAATTAAAGAATTAAAGAAGAATTAAAGAATTAAAGAAAAATTAAAGAATAATTAAAGAATTAAAGAATATTTCAAGAAGAATTAAAGAATATTTCAAGAAGAATTTAAGAATTGAGGAATATTACAAGAAGAATTAAAGAATTAAAGAAAAATTAAAGAAGAATTAAAGAATTAAAGAAAAATTGAAGAATCAAANAATTAAAGAAAAATTAAGGAATCAAAGAAAAATTAGAGAAAAATTAAAGAATTAAAGAAAAATTAAAGAAGAATTAAAGAAGATTTCAAAAAGAATTAAAGAATTAAAGAAGATTTCAAGAAGAATTAAAGAATTAAAGAAAAATTAAAGAAAATTTCAAAAAGAATTAAAGAATTAAAGACAAATTAAAGAAAAATTAAGGAATCAAAGAAAAATTAAAGAAGAATTAAAAAATTAAAGAAAAATTAAAGAAAAATTAAACAATAATTAAAGAATTAAAGAAGAATTAAAGAAAAATTAAAGAATTAACTTCCAACTCACTGAACTTAATAAAGAAAGAAATTAGTAAAGGAAGAAATCTATTCGACTAATGCTCGTTGCGATCGACAATCATAATTTCTACTTAACATAAAGCACCTTAGATCTATCGTAACTCCAAATATAACCGTCCATAGCTTCATATATATTTCAACGTATACTAAAACTATTTAAACTAATTAACTAGTCTCAGCCCTCTAATTCGCATAGCTAGAAGTACGTTTAATTGCACAGAATCCTAACAACGGCAAGAGAAATAAATCGATCGTATTCTAGCAGCAGCCATTCATTCCGAAGAAAAGGGACGAACGAATCGCAACAGATGTCGAGTAGACAAAGCATTTCGTGACACCCCGGCGCGCCGCGATATTTCCGAACGTATCGTCTCGCTGTCTCCTATAGTATTATTAATCCACGCGCTCGATGGAACTGACGTTGTCGAAGTGTCGGAAAATTGTGCTCGCACAAAAGAACGCGCGGCGAGCGGCCCGTTGCCGCGATATATCGAGTTAATTGAAATGATAGAAACCACTTTCGGCGATTCCGCTGTGATAAGTGTGCCGCTATTGTGAACCGGTCGCCTATCAATTCCGCGGAACGATTAATTCCTTTAAACGGTGGCCCCGGTACAAGAGAGAGAGAGAGAGAGAGAGAGCGAAAGAGAACGCGAGAGAGCGAGAGAGAACGCGAGAGAGAGAGAGGGCGAGAGAGAGAGAGAGCGCGCGAGAAAGAGAGCGCGAGAGTGAGAGCAAGAGAGAGTGCGAGAGAGAGAGCGAGAGAGTGAGAGAGAACGCGAGAGAGAGAGCGAGAGAGAGAGCGAGAGAGAGAGAGAGAGCGAGAGAGAGAGAGAGAGAGCGCGAGAAAGAGAGCGCGAGAGTGAGAGCGAGAGAGAGTGCGAGAGAGAGAGCGAAAGAGAGCCAGAGAGAGCGCGAGGGAGAGCGAGAGAGAGCGAGAGAGCGAGAGAGAGCGAGAGAGCAGAGAGAGCGAGAGAGCGAGAGAGAGCGAGAGAGCGAGAGAGAGAGCGCGAGAAAGAGAGCGCGAGAGTGAGAGCGAGAGAGAGTGCGAGAGAGAGAGCGAGAGAGAGAGCCAGAGAGAGCGCGAGAGAGAGCCAGAGAGAGCGAGAGAGAGCGCGAGAGAGAGCGCGAGAGAGAACGAGAGAGAGAAAGAGAGAGAAAGACGACAGAGAGAGAGAGAGAGAGAGTGGCTGAAACTTTCCGCCGATATTTCATGAACTTTCCAGTGGAACAGGCTGGTTTACGGACACTCGGCGCGAAAATGCTGGATCACCGGCGCCCATATCTGCTCGCATAAGTCACGAAAAACAGTATAAGAAGCGGCGCGCCGCACCGCGCGATAGCCCGTAGCGAGCACTTCAATTTGTTACACCCGCATCGAACTTCGCCGATGAATAACTCCGGGCGGGTCGTAACGGAACGCCTTCGAAAAATCCGAATCGATCGATTCCACCAGCCGCGGTCGCGAAGAATATTTCTCGGACTGGGAACCGTGACCTTCGAAACGGTAATTTTTAGTTGAAATATGAAAATGAACGTTCGCTGTCATTCTGAAGATGTTTAGTGGCTTAGGATAGCATTTCAGGAGTTTTATAAATGGTATAATATTTTTGAAGTTGAATCAACTGAAATCAAAGTTGAATCAATTGTAATCAATGTTGAAATCAATGTTGAAGTCAAAGTTGAATGAATTGAAATTAAAGTTGAATCAATTTTAATCAAAGTTTAAATCAATGTTGAATCAATTGTAATCAAAGTTGAAATCAAAGTTGAATTCAAAGTTGAATTCAAAGTTGAATCAATTGAAATCAACGTTGAAATCAAAGTTGAAATCACAGTTGAATGAATTGAAATCAACGTTGAAGTCAAAGTGGAAATCGAAGTCGAATCAAAGTTGAATGAATTGAAATCAACATTGAAGTCAAAGTGGAAATCGAAGTCGAATCAAAGTTGAATCAATTGAAATCAACGTTAAAGTCAAAGTGGGAATCGAAGTCGAATCAAAGTTGAATGAACTGAAATCAACATTGAAGTCAAAGTGGAAATCGAAGTCGAATCAAAGTTGAATCAATTGAAATCAACGTTAAAGTCAAAGTGGGAATCGAAGTCGAATCAAAGTTGAATCAATTGAAATCAACTTTGATTTCAACTTTGATTACAACGTTGATTTCAATTGATTCAACTTTGAATTCAACTTTGATTTCAATTGATTCGACTTCGATTTCAACTTTGATTTCAGTTGATTCGACTTCGATGTCAACTTTGATTTCAACTGATTCAACTTTGATTTCAATTGATTCAACTTTGATTTCAACTTTGATTACAATTGATTCAACATTGATTTAAACTTTGATTACAATTGATTCAACTTTGATTTCAACTTTGATTACAATTGATTCAACATTGATTTAAACTTTGATTGCAATTGATTCAACAGTGATTTAAACTTTGATTACAATTGATTCAACTTTGATTTCAATTGAAATCGAAGTCGAATCAAAACTGAATGCGCGCGAGCGCGGCATAATCAAAAATCGCGAGCCGATCGAGGGAAAAAAATAGATCGCCTAATCGAGCGGCCACTCGAACCGAAAAATCACATTTCGGACTCTTCTTTCGGCATTTCCGGCGCCGTAATTCGCGCGCGTGGGAGCGCGGCACAATCAAAAATCGCGAGCCAATCGAGGGGAGAAAATAGATCGCCTAATTGAGCGGCAACTTGAAACTGCGGCCGTCACTTTCGAGGCATGTAAATTGGTGCGCGCGCGAGAGCACCGGCTGGCTGAATGCGAGTTAAACGCATAATCCGCGCGCACTTGAGCAACATGCAAATCTTCGGAGCCACTTCATAAACAGGTTCACATCACTTAGGCATTGTACGCGGCGCGCCGCTATTGAGGATGATCTTGCCGTACCATTTCGCGAAACAATACGATTACATTTGCATACGTTGGGCGGCTCGCGCGCCGCTTAAGGTGATTTTCTGCGTCTGTTCCCGAACTACTACGAAATCGAGGGATCGGTTTCTCACGTGGAATCGCCGTGGGCCATTCGAAATCTGAACGTAGATTCCGAACTATGATTGCACTAATTTTCGTTAACGTCGCCTCGAGAAACTGTCACGATTTAGTATCATTCGTTTATCCCAGTTAATTAGGATAAATTTAATGCGTAACACATTTTTTTTCAAGTTGATGTTATTTTTAGATAATTTTATGTGAATCTTGCGATATGTGAAACACGTTGCATTGGGAGAAGTGTCTGTTCGTTTAGCTCAAATTTTAGTTATTATAGCAATTTTTTGTTCGAATTATTTATGAACAATTCGAACGTATTATTATTATTATTATATTATATTATTTTATTTTATTATTATTATATTATATTATTTTATTTCATTATTGCTATATTATATAATTTTATTTTATTATTATTGTATTACATAATTTTATTTTATTATTACTATATTATATAATTTTATTTTATTATTATTGTATTACATAATTTTATTTTATTATTACTATATTATATAATTTTATTGTATTATTATTATATTATATTATATTATTATTACTATATTATATAATTTTATTTTATTATTATTGTATTACATAATTTTATTTTATTATTACCATATTATATTATTTTATTTTATTTTATTGTTATTATATTGTATTACTGTTTTTAATTCTTATTATCGAAGTAACAGCTAAATGCTTCGGGTGGAGCATAAAATGACATAACGTTGGAAATCATTACTTCATATACACGACCATAATCAGTTAAATCAGAAGCTAGATCCGAGTGCGAACGATTAAAATAAACTTTGATAAAGAACTTGTGCCACTTGTGTCAGACGAGCGCACAAAAATTCCATATTCTAATTATTAATCACAGAAACCTGAAAACGAGAAGTTCCATTTGGTTTCCCTTACCTTATTCGTAAGAGGCGACAAAATCCAATTGTTTGCAGAGAAGAAGTATCGCACCGCGAGCTGAACCTGCAACAATAAAATTACAATACGATTTTATTAAAAATGGATCACAGAGTAGATCGGCTCGTTGTTTAATTAGATCGTCGCACATGAAATGACAATTTTTCATTATTCGAAATTCCCCGCCTTTGTACATAAAATAATATACATGTAATAAAATACATATACAGAGTGTCCCAAAAATGTCTCGCAATCCGGAAATGGCGGGTTCCTCGGATCATTTGGAGCAACTTCTTCCTTTACAAGAATTTTCTCCGAGGCGCCGTTAACGAGTTATCAACGAAAAACCGTGACCAATAAGAATCGAGCACGGCTGACGCGAGGCGGCCCAGCCAACCAGCGCGCGAAGCCCAGTTCCGCTCATTGGCTCGGTCGCCTCGCGCCAGCCGAGCTCGCCTCTCATTGGTCCCTGTTTTTCGTTAATAACTCGTTAACGGTGCCTCGGAGAAAATTTTCGCAAAGGAAAAAGTTGCTTCGAATGACCCGAGGAACCCGCCACTTTCGGATTGCGAGACATTTTTGGTATATTAAATTCTCCGTAATTCACCTTCAGCTTGGAAACAGAAATGGACAATTTGGGAGGAGGAAATACGATTATTTATATTTTATTTATTTCTCAATCTCTAATGATTATTTTTAATCTTATTTTAATCATTATTATCTATATTTTACAGCTACCGATTGTCAACGATTGTAAAAACGAGCTGCAAGACTTAAATAATCGTATCTTCTCTTCTCAAATTGTCCATTTTCCTGCGCAATCTCAGCAGAAATTAGAAAGAAATTACCGTATCCGTTAATTCCGTTCAATATACAAGTTTAACCCGAAAATGCCGAAACCGCCGTTACATTTGCAACAGCCAAATAATTTGATCCGTTAATATCGCGGCGGAGCTGCGTTCGCGAGTCTAAAACGCGCGCGCTTATCGACGGGACGCGCCGCGCAGGGATTTCCTGCGTCCGATAAAGGACGCCTTAATCGCAGTCGCGAAGTGCGGATTTCACTCGGGGAGGGGGAAAGGGAGGGTACACCGATGCTTTGCCGCTCTTAATTGGTTCTGATCGATCCCGAGCCCTCGTACTAATTAGTAACGACGAGTTGTTAACGAGGTTCCGCGCCGTTGACTACGAACACGAGCCGCCGGCAAGATGTAATCGTAGATTGACCCGCGGAAGAGCAAGGAAACGCATTCCCGGGCCCGAACGGCGGCGTGACAACATTAACCCTATGGGTACACACGCACACACAATCGGAACGCGTGAATATTTATGAAAATCACGGCTGCGGCGCCGAATGTGCACGCGCCACGGAATTATCGGCGTTTATCCTTCGCACGGTGTAACCACCCTTGCGAAGTACAGGGTGCAGGGAGAATCGTGATCGTTTTGGATTAGTTTCTTGTTTTCGGAGGATGGCGAACTGTTTCGATGAATCGAAGATAGTGTTGACGCGGATGTAATCATTTTTGTGGACAGTTTCGAGCAGAGCCGGTTACTGTGGCAGGGACCCATTACTGTAATGCAATGTAATTTCAATGTAATGTAATGTAATTTCAATGTAATGTAATGTAATTTCAATGTAATGCAATGTAATGTAATGCAATGTAATGTAATTTCAATGTAATGCAATGCAATGTAATGCAATGTAATGTAATGTAATGTAATGTAATGTAATGTAAAGTAATGCTAATGTAATGTAAAGTAATGCTAATGTAATTCTAATGTAATGTAATTTTAATGCATGTAATGTAATGTAATTCTAATGTAACGTAACACTAATGTAATGTAATATAATTCTAATGCAATGTGATGTAATGTAATTCTAATGAAATGTAATGTAATTCTAATGTAATGTAATTCTAATGTAATGTAATGCTAACGTAATTCTAATGTAATGTAATGTGATTCTAATGCAATGTAATGTAATTCTAATGTAACGTAATGCTAAAATGTAATGTAATGTAACGTAATGCTATTGTAATGTAATGTAATTCTAATGCAATGTAATGTAATNAATGTAATTCTAATGTAATGTAATTCTAATGTAATGTAATGCTAACGTAATTCTAATGTAATGTAATGTAATTCTAATGTAATATAATGCTAACGTAATTCAAATGTAATGTAATGTAATTCTAATGCAATGTAATGTAATGTAATTCTAATGCAATGTAATGTAATGTAATTCTAATGTAATGTAATGCTAACGTAATTCTAATGTAATGTAATGTGATTCTAATGCAATGTAATGTAATTCTAATGTAACGTAATGCTAAAATGTAATGTAATGTAACGTAATGCTATTGTAATGTAATGTAATTCTAATGCAATGTAATGTAATATAATTCTAATGTACCGTAATGCTAATGTAATGTAATGTAACTCTAATGTAGTGTAATGTAACGTTCGAAATGCGGTAATTTCTCCCGAATTTCTCGTTTTCATAGTCACCGATTGTCAACAACCATAAAAAGCGAGCCGCATGTCTCGAACAATCGCATCGCCTCTCCTTAAATTGTCCATTTTCGTGCGCAATCTGAGCGCGAATTAGGAAGAAATTACTGTATTTCCCCTTATTTCGACCGACTTTCTCGCACGCTACAATTGCACAAGGAAGTGCAAGATTATAATCATTAAAAGCTGCTGCACGCAACTTTGTTTTTTTCTTTTCTTTTTTGTAACATACGGCGTACTTGCATTATCGCAATTATTACAATTTCGCGAAAGTGACAGATGCGTGGCATCGACCGATTTCACGATTGCATACTTGGCGACCGTATATATGCCTACGGAACTGCGGTGAAAAAAAATTGCACGCAACGCGGACGTCCGGCGCTGCAATTACGTTTTCAACAAGTGTACGTTGTCTAATTTAATCTATAGTATTTCAGGCCACAATTACGTTGCCGCTCGTAAAAAGAAAATGTTCATGCGTGTAACCGTGCTAAAAGCAGTTCCCGGTGAACGATGCAAAAAGGAAGATAAAATTGCAGATAAAAACGCAGTCGATATCGTTGGCGTTTATGGTGCGCCGAACAGACTTTCGAAGAATTTCTGTGAATTAAGAACGCGGTAAGCTACACATGCTTTTTACACGCGAAATTGATCCTTTCGTTGTACACCTTGTAAATGAAATTGCACACCTTTTTGCGAATGAAACTTACGTCTTTGCAATTATTTGTAATAAAATGAGCATTAAATTTACAAATTGCATGTTTGCATGTGTATTATAAATATTACGAAATTTGTGTTATTCCATAA